ATCTACATCACCATGTAACACATTTGCATAATGTTGCCTGGTGGCTTGTTTGGAACGCCCTCAAGCAAACAGTGGGCAGTTTCCTCACAGTTCAGCTATACTCATAGATATGTGGCTCGTAACCAAGCTTGCCTCGCGTTCACTGGGCGAGCTGACCAATCAGAGCAGACTGGACTTTCTTGCTTTAGACTGAGGGTGGGAAGAGGTGCTGCAGCAACATACAGTTTGAGAAAAATAAGTGTTTTTAGATATAAAAGCATGTTAATATCTTCTAGTCAACCACAAAAATAAAGAATAGAAGACTTTTTAATAATTTAGACTACTAATTGTGTGACATGTTGATGCTCACAATTTCCCAGAACCTGAGGCAACATCTTTGAATTACATTTTTGTTGGACCAACAGTCCAAAACACATTTTCTTTCCGTAGAAGAAAACAGCTAAATGGCAAATATAGTGCTGAGGACAATTAAAATAATTTTCTTAAGTAATTGTACTTTGTTTATACTTCTGCTTCACTGCAATTCAGATGTATAATAGCACTTTTTACATCTCAACATTTTTTGCTTAGCCTTACTTACTTTGCAGAGAACAGATTATCAGTGAGCTATATCAAAATTCAGTAGAGAAATAAATTATGATGCTTTATTATCAAACTTAATCTGTCTCACAGAAGTAAAGTGGTAAAAATTAGCCCCATTTTACCAGTTGCAACACTGAGGAATGCTTGCAAACTGATGTGTCAACAAGTATAATTTAATAATGCATTCTTATGAAATGAACCATTATTCATTAATTACATCTGGTACTTTAAGTTTATTTTGATGATGACACTTATTTAAATGCATGATTATTTCTGCACTGTGGTGTTGCTATGTTTTACTAAATTAAGATCTTCTTCCACACTGTTCAGTTTACAGTGATAAAAAAATAGACAACAGCAGCAAATCCTCAAATTTGATAAGCTGGAATCAACAAACGTGTGGCATTTGTGTTTGATAATTAACTTAAACGATTAAGCAATTGTCAAAATGCTTGGTGCTTAATTTTCTTTTGATCGACTTATCGTTTCAGCCCCAGTTCTCTTTTTAAATTTTTTTTTTTTAATTTCATTTAATTTCAGCATCACATAAATGTCACCTCAACATCTGAGACCTGTATTAGTATGCGCACCTCCCCACTGTTGCAATGCATATCACAGGAGTCTCAGATTCTTTTGCATCATTTCTTTCTCATAGAGTAGACTTTGAAGTTCTCTCCAAAAGCGGTGGTGCTGATGGTGTGTGCTATGATGAATGATTTAGACATCTGTCTGTTAAACAGGATAGGTTGGTGTGAGCTCAGAGGCATATTGGAGCTGTCGCTGCATCGGGGGTAATGAGGTGAGATGGGTTGTAACCAAGTGCTCAACCAAGCAAAACAAAGCCATATGTTTGTCTAAAGGTGGCTCCTTTTGTAGTGTTTGGGATGTCATTGTTGTCATGTTGTACATGTTTGTCTCTCTTGGCTCCCATGCTCCATCAGCCTCACGATGTGTGTAGCAAACGGTAAATAAATGGCAGTCGGCAGACGCTCTGCTTTAGGCACTGGCCCCGGCCCTTTAATCTTAGCCAGCCTCTCCTCAGTTTTTTTCTCTCGTCTCTGACTAACCACCCTTGACAGGGAAAGTGCAGAGAGGTAGGCTGCCTGTCGGCTGTGGGGCAAATTTAAACAAACGAGAGAAATAAAAGAAGGAATGGGAGACAAAAAAGGGAAACTGACAGCTTTGGTACATGAGAATAATTACAGGCTGGAGTGAAATTAGCACACACGCATGGAGGGAAAGAGCAGGGAGCGCCGGAGAGAGCGGCAAAAGAAGAAAGAACACAGCAGAGCAGCTCATGCACTTTTCTTCAGGAGCAGGTTATGAGAGTCGGTGGGAGCTGAGGGAAAATGCTGAGCTTAACAGGTGTAACAAATTCTAGGAGCTAGTCATTTGCAGAGGCAGCTGCCTATGCAGTCACTGCTTTTAGTATAATAGAAATATGAGAAGTTGCCCAACAGGGATTGCATCGAGAATGCATGTGTTTGAAATGTAGAGTGAGCAAAGGAGAAGTAGATGAAAGAAAGAGGGTAGGCAAGAGTTGGATGCTGTCTACTACACTGGTTATCCCTCTGTGGTTTTTTTCTTAAAAGTCTCTGAACTGAAGAGAAATTCCCAACAGATAATTTAAATGAATTTCTTTCTGTGGCTATGAGTGTACATTAGTCTTAATACATCCTGTAAATACAGCCTGTAAATCAAGCATAAAGCAGTGAGAATAAGCACTTGCATTTTGACGAATGGCCTCAATTTCAATTAATAGGACCATTAAAGCTCAGAGGACAGGCCGACGGGTGCATTCATAGGCGCTCTGAGCAAAGAGCCCGTTCGCTCTGAAAAACATCACACGCACTTACTACACCCTTGACAGGCACACCCCATCGCATCAAGACTTCTCTCTCTTTCAGCATTAAAGGCAGACAACACGACAGCATAGTCAAGGATTACTGCAAGAGGATCCGAGCTGATGGGGCGGCTGGTATAATTGTGATAAATGACGGCCTTTCGTCAGCGTGCCACTCCGTGAAGCAAACAGCATGTTTTTCTGCTCTGAATGTGTGGGGAGGCGTCCATTCACTTCACCGCGTCAGCAAAACATAAAAACATGCAATTTACTCTGACTACAGAAGGAGAGCTGATTGACTTTAATATAGTGGAGGTTTTGCAAGAAAGAGGCAGTTATATGTCCCTAAAGCCGCTTGGCCCTGAATAATTTGGGCTGACTCCTCCTGTTTTTCCCCTATGTGTGGGTGACAGTCTGCCAATAATGCTCCTACATAATAGCCAATGAACTGTCAACACAAGGCGAGTATGAAACACTTTATTAGTCTGTAGTCTGTCCTGGAGGTGTAGCTGACAACAGCTGTAGAATAACTTCACAGTATACACATGGCATATGTCCAAGTTCCACATGGTACACATGATGTGTACGCCTCACGACCACCCAGAGGCTTCATGAGGAAACAAGGCACTTGACAGTACTGTACGTCCTCTACACCTGCTGCTCTGACCCATAATCCCAAGCCCAACATCTATGATAACCGAATGAAAGGCTCTATCCATTATTCATATGGAATTAAAAAGTTAACTCTTTGATGTACAGTGAAAAAGGGGAGATTGGAGGGTTGGACAGGCAGCTGGACAGTTTTTTTTGTTGTTTTTTTTTGTTTTTTTTTTTCTTTTTGAAAATAACAGTTACTTCAAGACAGACAAGTACAGATGGCAACAAAACATGAAGTTTTTGAAACTGTAAAGGGATTACTTACATTGGTATTCAGTCTTTGTAAACACTGTAGTAAAATAGACCTGTACTGCAGTTTGAGTTACAACAGCATAAAGATGATGTAAAATGCTTATTGCCCGTCATTATGCTCTACCAGTGCAAGGTTGTATTAATGCAAATGGTGTCTTTCATTGTTTGCATCTTGAGTTATGCACATTTTGCCGTGTTAAGATTGCTGCAGGTTGATTTTAACATCAACAACAAATGTTGAAACGTACTTGAAGGTACATTATACATCTCAGTTACTAAAGCAAAGTCACATCTGAGTGACTGATCTTCAAATCCTGCATTTAAGTCACATAAAAGATGCTGTAAGACCAGCAAACGCAGTTTGAAAGGGAGGGTCGGCCTTGAGGGCAATGAGACTGCAGGTTTTCACTCCAACAAAACAACACAGTGACTGATTCCTCTGTTCACCACACATGCGCATGTATTTGTGCGTGTTTCATATTCAAAATGTTTCTTCATTGGAGATGAAAGAGGGTCCTGAGGGTAGGCGTCGCTGTGGGCTCCAGGCTGACATGGGGGAGAGTGTGGCTTTAGGAACGAAACATTTTCTGCTAGACAAGAGAAAGTAATAAGGAATATCAGTCAGTGCTCTGTTTGGATGGAATGAAAATCCAGCACCATGATGGCACTTGAGGTTCACAACCTCAGTGCAAGGTCCCAGAGGGCCACAGGATATATCTTGGAGGTCATGGGATTAATAAAAAAGATATGATATGTGGTAAAAACATCTTAAAGCTACACTAAGCATTTATATCTTTCTAACCTTTGCATTTTTATATTGTGGAAAAACTGTATATTTTACCTCCTTGGGTATCTATATAAATCCAGGACAGGAACATAACTTAGGGTCGTGAGTAGACTTCAATTCACGGGGTCATTGGGTTAGACTCTGCATTGTAATACTGAAGCACAATGTAGAGTTTGAATTTTACTCGAAGATGGATTTGGAATCTGCGCACTGGGGTGGCAAGGGGGAAAAAATGAATCATCACTCTTCTATATTCGACTTTTGTCTGTCAAAATTTCTCTGCAGAGTGACAGAAAAAATGTGCACTGAAAGGTCAGTCTGCATTTTGGCATCTAAGGGTAGATTAGTGTTGATCTAATTTTTACCCCAAAAACAACGTGAATTTGAACTCAAATTTGTGCTCCTCACTCCTACACAGATACAGCACATGGAGTGGTATTGGGTCATTGGCAAGACATCAGAATTACAATTTAAAATGAAAAAGAAGAAATGGCTCAAACTACAAGGACAGTATCTAACAGGCAGGTGACGGCAAAGGCAGTTAAGCCGAGATTAAACAACAATGAACACTACTAGACTTCAACATACAAATCTGGAATAGTCTGTACACTCTGACAGATGCGTTCACAGTGTTGACTTTAAAAATACGGTCCCACAAATCACAGCAATGCATTTTGAGTTATTCTTAGCACAACAAAATGTGCAGATAGCCAAGCTTGCCAAATGCATTTCCACAGCTCTGCATTATACCCATCGCTGTTGTACTGAAATTCAATACAAATTATCTGCTTGGATGTGATACTGGCTTGGCTGGTCTGAATTTAGAGTTTGGGTGTGCGTACATGCATTTGTGCATGCACGCATGTTCATTGTGATTCTCTAGAGTTCGTGGGAGATGAAAGAGGGTCCTAAGGGCGCCGCTGTGGGCTCCAGGCTGACATGGGAAAGAGTGTGACTTTGGGAACGAGACAGTGTGTGATAATGAGAGGGGGGAGCTTTCCCCTGGGCCTGGCCCTCTCCCTGCTCTGAACTCTGGCTTGGCAAAGTAGAGTCTCCTGGTTCTGCTCCAGCCACAGTCTCAGCTCCTGCAGCACCACGCTCCTGCTTGTGTCTCTCCCAGGCTGAACTCAGCTTCACAGCCAGAGCCAGCAGGTTCTTCCCCAGAAACACGGTGGACACACGGGGGTCCCTATACCACAGCATGCCTGTTCCCCGTAGGGCCAGGGTAAAGATATTGATAGTGACCAAGCTGAGCCAAGGGTACAACGCCTCCTTACGGGGCCCTCTCTGTCCCGGCAGGCCGGTGGCCCCCAGCTCTGTGAGGGCCACGCAGGGAAGCAGCAGCAGGAGGGCGTAGCAGTAGAAGAAAACCAAACCCTCTGCCCAAATGGGCAGCCTCTGCTCAGTGCCTCCTGCAGTGCCCACCGTGGACCCTCCTTGGGCTTCCCACAGCCCCGCCTGCAGGTCCAGGACGTCCAGCAGGTCAACCACCACCCACAGGAGCCGGCCTCGGACTTCCTGCTTCCTGCGCTGCGGAGTCATGTGGTCAGCTCCCGTCAGGATGAGGAACAGGGAGGGCAGGCAGATGGACAGCAGCAGCGTCAGCGTCTTTCTGGCCAGCGGGTCGGGTGGCCGGCGCTCCTGTCTGTAGTTGTGGCAGACGAAGAAGAGCTTGAGCTGGAGCAGGGACAGGAACAGGAACCAGAGGGCGTTGGCAAAGCCGCGACGGGGCGACCGCGCCTCTGACACTACGCCAGCCGAGACGAAGCGCAGTGCGAGCAGGAAGCCCACATCACCTAGCAACACCGCCGCACATTGCCACACACTAGGTCCTGAAAGACCGCGAGCTCCCAGCATGCTCTGCTCCAGCAAGTAGAGGTCCACCACTGCCATCGTGCTCACCGTCACCAGGGTTGATACGCACACCTGGGGCGTGGGCACCATGCCTGAAAAAAGACACACACAGATGCACCGTGGGAAACATGTTACAGCAACAGAATTCGAACTCTGATCACATCGTCACGCACAACGCCATCTGTCCCCAGTAAAACTGACAAATTTTCAGGATAAGAAAATGTTTTGTTTTTTTTTCCAGCACGAATTCAAAACCAAATGTAAAATAGTTTGATGCTTGTTGCTATGGTTAAAGACATTAGCTGCAGCGTAAGCAGTGAGCGCCCTTCATCTTTGGCCAGAGCTACATCTACCCTGGCTGCTCAAGCTGGGAAGCCTATTAAATTGTTTTTTTTTTTTCTCTGCGGCTCTTTGAATTAAATAGTCTTCATTTTCCATAAAGGTCCTAACATTGCTTCTTTTTGATTCTGAGATTTCCTCCAAGTTGCTGTTACTTTTTTCTGTGTATTGTTCCTGCTCTTTTTCCCACTGGGCTTATTCATTATTAATTAATTGCATTCAGACGCAGCTAGGTGCCCTGTCAAAACCTTTTCTTTCCCTCTATAGTCTGTCGCGCTTGTTCCCATACTGTGCCGCAGCCTTTAATCATCCCAAATTCCCCTCTCATATCAGATGAATATTGATAACTCGCTATTTGTTTAGAGATGCGCTTGACTCGCGTCTTTGTGTACACACCGTGTGCGTCCGGGTGAGTGCATGCCAGCAATGCTAATTTGGCTGAATGAGGTTTCATGTTATTGTTACAGCTCATATCTCAGCCACAGACACCATAAACCTCAGTATTGATCTCGGTGTGAGAAATGATCATTGACTTTACAGTGTAATCGAACCGACGTCTCTTTATTGTATTTAGCTGAAAAGCACAGCACAGACCACTGGACTGTCTGTTATCTGCTCAGCACCACTCGGGGGTGTCAACCCCTCAGCTGGATCGATGGCATTATAATGTAAAATCATCACCCGCTCAGATGTGTCCTAACAGCAACAGTTGAGCGTGATCGAACGAAAGATTGTCTGCATGATTGCGGCCTCTGAGAAAAGTCTGCCAGTGAAAAATGCGTATTGATATCTTGCCGATGGAAGACACATCACTTCCCTCACTGTAAGACTAACAGGAGCTCTGCCATCTCCTCCGTGCCGTCTGAATCATTGAAGAGGGTTGAAGAACTCCGCTGGGTAAAAAAAAAAGGGGGGTTTGAGATAGTGTGTGTGTGTGTGTGTGTGTGTGGAGAAGGAGAATGAGAATAAGACTGCAAGTGAAAGATTAATAGGCCTTTTGGCTGTCTACATGCCTAATAAAGTGTTACTGCATGATAGTAATAGTTCATAAATAAGCTCAGGGGGAGAGGGGGTGAAAGTGATGGAGAAGAAAAGACTCAAATGCTGATAGAAAGTGACTTCCGCCCACTTAAATGAGGACATGGATTTTGTGGGCCAGCTTGGCCTGGATGAATCTTCATGTATTCATCACCAGGAGTATTGAAAAATCTCAGACATTAAGCGTTTCCTCTGAAACAGATGAATCAAAGAGATGAGGAAGGGAGCGATCTCGACTGATTAATCTGCTCGGAGGCATGGTGGGAGGACAGGCGTGGATCATGCCTGCATTTGTAATATCTGATTGTCTGTGAAGCCTTTTGTCTCACCGCACACAGCAACTTGATTATCCTTCGCTGGCAATTGAATGAATTCCACCAAGCTGCAGATTGAGAGGATATTGGAATTTAAATTTGTCTTTTCTTTCTTGGGGAACAACCCCCGGAGCTGCTTGGGGGGGGATGGGGAGGGGGATGGGGACGAAGAAGTTTACAGCCACTGTTGCAGCTGGCTTTCTCGAGGTCGTGTCTCTTAAATTATTCCACCTGCGCCTTAAATTTCACCCTGGAAATCTCCCCCGTCAGCCTGTGTTTGTGTTTTGACTCCCTGTCAGCGCTGTGTAATTTATTCTGTTCTGAGTGAGGGACCGGGATGACAGCCCGCATGTCCACTCAGCTCATCAATAATGACCAAATTCATCATTCTGCTGCCTCGGAAATGACACTGCTGTTGACAAGGTGAGGCTACCTATTTCACTGTAAGCATGAGTAATGGCATTTAATAGTGTGCTGGTGAGAGATTTGTATAGAGTCCATTTAACACTGAAAATCATTTTTTTCTTGCAAAAAAAATTAAAAAAGAAGTCTCCATCTCTTCTCTTTCCCGTATTTGACATGAGTGCTCCCCATGTGAACTATTGTCTCAGTTATCATCCTAAAAGCACTTTAATTTTGTGCAACACACGCTGACAGAGATAAAGCAAGGGGTGGGGTTGCTACTTGCGTTTGTTTTCTATTAATATTGGGTGATTCCCAAGTGGACAGAAATCCATGCAGAGCAAAGATTGATTTGTCTACACCTTCAGTTAATCTCCATAAACACCCGCCATAGAGCTTCAAATTGCATCAAACACACAAATCCCTCACAACTTTTCCCAGGTGCAACAGGAGCACCAAGGGCATCAGGACATCATCTGAAGCCATTGTGTGCAAACTAATTAATTAATAGAGTCTGGGGTGTGCAATCTGTGCAAATGCAGACTAAATCCTCTCTGCAGACACAAAGCCACAGGACTAAAACATCTGTTGATTTATCAGGTAACCGCTCAGGAGTTGCCCGATGGGCTTGTTGTTTCAATTTTTTTCCACAGTTATTGCTTTTTTTTTTTTTTCTTCCTTGAAATGTGCTTATCATTAACTGCTCAGCCTGCAGTGCTGTCGTGAGACATCCTTTGGTAATTTAACTATCTCTATTAAAGCCGCTCCTCTGCAACACCTGTTTCATAACTGCCCTATTAACAGCAGGTATCGTGGATTTCTCCCTGCATGGCTGCTAGTAAAGTGAAGCTTTAGTTACCCAAACCATTCGTCTTGCACTTGGGCTCGATCTTCTCGGCTTGATTAAAAGCAAGTATTGTGGGGGGTTTTCTCTCTCCTCCAAGCAGAAGTCGGCGCCCAATAAAGTGTCTTTTATAGTCGTTGATGAGCCGATAAAAGTCTCACAGTCCGGGTGTTTGTGTACAGTCAGGCTCCGGAGGAAGGCTCATGGAGAGGCGGAGAGAGGGCAAAGTCATCGCTGCTGCCACAACCGAGCACACTTTGTAGGAGAGAAGAGGGGAAAAAAAAAAAAAACCGGCTCGTACTTATCAAGATTTCCTCCTCCGTGCAGATCGGGCATGGCAGATGTCTCCGTCCCTCCGATCACTCCGTGGTTGTTGCAGAAAAGGCTCGATCTGGATGTGAATCTGTCGCCTCCTGCGGTGCTGCTGTCGGTTTATCTTATGCCACGGCAGCGAGCCGAGCTGCTGCTGCTGCTGCTGCTGCTGCTGCTGAAGCTGAAGCTGCTGCTGCTCGGTCGGTCTCCGGCTGTGCGGAGCAGCCGAGAAGTCGGTCAGAAGTGGAGCATCAGCGGCGACGCGTCAAAGTGGGAGACCGCAGACCGAGCGATCCGTCCGGGAAGATGGCTCAGGAGGAAGAGAGGCAGCGAGGGGGAGAAACTCAGTCACGCTGTCCGAGTTTGGTCGTGGTGTTAATTTGTAAGCAGGTTACGTGCTCCAGCCCCAGACCTCCCACCCTCCTCAGCCTCCCCCCGCTCTCTCTCTCTCTCTCTCTCTCTCTCTCTCTCTCTCTNCTCTCTCTCTCTCTCTCTCTCTCTCTCTCTCTCTCTCTCTCTCTCCACCATCAGCTGTGGAAGTTTATCCATGAATATTTCAGAGCACTCAGTTACAGTACATTCATCGGTGGTGGTAATAATGATGATGCCACTTGCACAAGAAGAGTTGCTTTGTTCGGGAGCAGCCAGACACCTTATTTAGCCCTCTCTGCTTGACATAAGAGCGGAGGAAGTGGAGCGAAAGATGCTTGTAGCCTGTAGACACATTTAGAGCTCTGAAGGCAGATGTTACAAGTTTAATTAGTCCTCCTTCTGTCTACTTACTGTCTTAGTCACACAAGGAAATCATTGCTCTGTTGTAGATTAACTCATTACAGCAGGCTTAGTGCATGCTTAAACAGAAGGATTGGGAATTTTCTGAGGCAGATTTGGTCGGAAATAAATCTTTTGGAGGCAGGTTTTTTTTTTTTTTTTTAATTTTTAAAGAGGGATGGTTGGTTTTCTTGTTCAAGAATTCAATTTTGGGTTCTTTGTCAGCCACAGATGGAGTTTGAATGAATTTCACCTTGTCCTCAAGGTTCTGCTCCTTCAAGTGAATCTGAAGGCACCTCAGTCTGCACCCTGAGCAAAGGCTCAGGTCCTCAGCTCCCTCGTTTCTGTGGCTCTCAGTGTGCTGGGTTCATTTTAGAGTGAGAGGTTTAATCAGACTGGTGAGAAAGGGGATGGAGAGTCATCTTTCTTGTCAGATTCAGCTCTGCGCTCCGCTGGCTTCCAAGAGAAGAGAGATTTTCCATTTTCCCTACTTCAGCGTGGCTTCTTTGTGTGTGTGTGAGTGTGTGTGTGTGTGTGTGAGTGTGTTCTTCTTCAGCCTTCTTGTTCTTCTTTCCACTGTCTCTCTGTCACCCCTCTCCTCATGTTTATCCTCTCCATCCAGCTTCCCTCCCCTCCTTTTCTTTTCTGTCTTTTTTTTTTGTTGTTCCCTGTGGGTGTGGTTGAAGGTCACTGTGCACACTCACTGGCTCACTTTCACAGAGGAAAGAAGGGGCGAGCGAGGCAGGAAAGAAAGGATGAGGGGAACAGTGAGAATAGCAGAGGAGGGCGAGGGGCAGCCAGGCAGGCAGGCTGTCCACAGTACTGTGCACTCATCACTTTTTTGCTTCGGACATGATTGGGGAAGTTTGGAAGGACACACTGGGTTACAAACTGTCCAAGAATGCTGAAGGCGTCAACAGCTTCTCCTCAGACCCGAGGCTGACCTCCACACACATGGAAAACATGGAGCACTCAGTGCCATCACCCTCCTGCCCTCGGCTCCGACTCAGTGTCATCTCACAGTATGAGCCATGAATTACAGGAGTAGTCCACCACTTAGCCTTGTACTT